TATATCTACCTAATCAGCATTTTCACTATATATTTAAGTGGTCAGCATTTGCTCGCCTGAATGAAGGTTAAATTTGCTGATCATATAGAAAAAAGAAGAGTTTTACGGCTTTTATCAATTTAAATTAATATTAAATTGATCAGCATTTTATTTTTGTACTAAATTTAATCGTTGACATGACTTAATACAATATATTAACTTTGCAGACAACATAAAATGAATAATAATTTCACGGCAAAATATCATTTTTCTCTATATATCTTTCTCGCTTGCATGTAAAGAGCGTTAAATTTACCGAACATATAGAATTAGAAGTTTTACGGCCTTAAATAAAATTGAATTAATATCTAGCTGATCAGCAGTTTTTCACAAATTTAAATGGTCGGCATGATTTTATAAAATATGTTTTCCTGAATGTAAAGAGCGTTAAATTAATTAATTAATGAACTAGACAAAGAAACAATCTTTTTAGAGCTAATTTCCTTCATAAACTGTATGTAAAATTTACGGCTAAATGATCCACATTTTATTTATTTTTTGTGTGATATATCCATCTTGCACAGGGGATATAAAGGGGATATATCGATTATTGTTTTTCATTTTTTTGTATTAATCTGGAGACAGTGTTTCCTTGCTATCTTTATAAAAGAATGGATCCTCAAATATTTTTCTATTAATTTGTAAGTTATAGACTTTGCTTTTTGCACGGTCCAATATTTAAGTGTACATTTTTCACGCTTAACATCTTATTTCAGCGTATTCATTTCTATATGTAGTTGTTCAGTGTGTGTAGCTAGGTAAGCGCCCGTAATTACTATGAGAGGCTTTTTTTTAGTATATAATACATCCGTAATTAATTTTCCAATGTAAAAGTACATCATAAAGTATGTATAGGCATTTTTTTGTGAGCCACCGCCCCATTCTTTTCCTTTAATTGATCGCATTATATTGTGATATTTCTCGCATCGCGTTATTAAATCATCGATATGATTTTTCCATGTTCAAGTTTTATCAAATTTCATTCCTAGTCATTTCGCGGGATATTTGTATTAAGTTCAATGAAAATTTGGATGTTTTCGCTACCATTTCTTTGTTTTTCTATAAATATAATTTGCTTTTTGATAGATTTTATTATGAAACCGTATGCTTTAGTCCAGTCATCTATTTCAGTAATTAGTGTTTTTATTTTTTCTATGAATTTACTTATTTAAGATGGTATTTTACTTAATATATTTAAAAAATGTCAACGACTCCAAACAATTAATTAAAATTTGTTTACATGTTTAGTTTCTTATCATAGATTAAACCGAAACACCGTATCCGTTCGGTATATTCATGATATTCGACGAGGTCCTTATTCGAAGACTGACGAATAGGGCCGAAAAGTTGCGACTTGATTTCTAACAATGCAATTCCGCAATTTTGGTCATTTGTATTTCAAGAGATAACTTTGAAATGTTGAACCTGATTCTTTATCTTGTAGACGCTTGTTCTGATCGAGGTAATGCGGTCAAAGCGCCTTATGACCCCGATCAAATTAAGTCAGCACCTTCGGATACCTGATATTTATGAATGTCAAGAGTGAGGTAGTTAAAGCGCCTGAATGATCGCGATCAGATAAAGACAGCGTCTACGAGTGTTCGATATATATGGCATTCAACGCTACAGGGGTCCGTTAAGTTATATGCCTTAAGGTGTATTCTTATATGTTGTCGATAAAATATAAAGCGGCTTAACAAATAAGCCAGTTGTTCTTCATTAAAGGGTTGCTGCGGTAAATGAGTTCTGTTGTAAAGGAGTTAAGTTGTCGTAATCTCCCCATTTTTTGACGACGAGGCATTTTTCTTAATAACACTATAAATTGAACATGATAGTTATTACTGATCGACTTGTGTACATAGTGCAGCCTCAAACATTCTAATGAAAGACAGTGATTGAAATACATATATAACATATATGTGTCAATACCAATCTTCAATGCATTATGAATACATGTATACACAACAGCTACATCATCATCATCATCATCCTCCTCATCATCATCATCATCAGCAGCAGCAGCAGCAGCATGAGAATTCCTTTATTCATTGGTAATTGAAAATAAGAACTGCATAAGCTAAACCCATCCCAATTTTACATTCAAGTGATTGATACGGTAATCATCCAATGAATGAATGAATGAATGAATGAATGAATGAATGAATGAATGAATGAAATGAATGAAATGAATGAATGAATGAATGAATGAATGAATGAATGAATGAATGAATGAATGAATGAATGAATGAATAAATTTCGTACTGTATCTGCACATCGAGTTAAATATTATTGTCCTACAACATTCTCAAAGGGTTATTCATGTGCACATTTTAAAACTAAAATGAAATAGATTGAAAATGTTTTGACAATTTTAAAAGCTAAAATTCGACATGACGAAAAGGTAAAATATACTTACCAATTACAGGTAAGGTGATACACACATTTTAGATATTTTTCAACATAATTATTAAAAAAATATATTATTTGTTCATAATTTCGAAAATATATTTTTTTATTTTACAAAATTCAATGATCGACATGACAATACAATATATTAACTTTGCAGACAGTTTAAAATAAATATCAATTTCATTGCAAAATATCAATTTTCTCTATATATCTACCTTATCAGCATTTTCACTATATATTTAAGTGGTCAGCATTTGCTCGCCTGAATGAAGGTTACATTTGCTGATCATATAGAAAAAGAAGAGTTTTACGGCTTTTATCAATTTAAATTAATATTAAATTGATCAGCATTTTATTTTTGTACTAAATTTAATCGTTGACATGACTTAATACAATATATTAACTTTGCAGACAACATAAAATGAATAATAATTTCACGGCAAAATATCATTTTTCTCTGTACATCTTTCTCGCTTGCATGTAAAGAGCGTTAAATTTACCGAACATATAGAATAAGAAGTTTTACGGCCTTAAATAAAATTGAATTAATATCTAGGTGATCAGCAGTTTTTCACAAATTTAAATGGTCGGCATGATTTAATAAAATATGTTTTCCTGAATGTAAAGGGCGTTAAATTAATTAATTAATGAATTAAACAAAGAAACAATCTTTTTAGAGCTAATTTCCTTCGTAAACTGTATGTAAAATTTACGGCTAATTGATCCATATTTTATTTATGTTTTTGTGTGATATATCCAAAGATGGTCATTTGTGTTTTTCACACCATGCAATTCGATCTCAATCTGATTAAAGGGTAATAAAACTTAATTGATGGAATGTTTTCACAAGATTTTGGGGTGTGAACATACATTTGGGGCCAATCAGATATATGTTATTGATTCATTTTTTATTCCAATCATTTTATTAGCCGAATGAGAATTCCTTTATTCATTGGTAATTGAAAATAAGAACTGCATAAGACAAACCCCGCCCAATTTTACAGCTAAATGATTATGGTACGGTCTAAGAAATTTAAAGTAATCATCCAATGAATGAATAAATGAATGAATGCATGAATGAATGAATGAATGAATGAATGAATAGATGAATGAATGAATGAAACAATGAGTGAGTGAGTGAATGAGTGAATGAATGAAAAAATGAATGAATGAAAAAATGAATGAATGAAAAAATGAATGAATGAAAAAATGAATGAATGAAAAAATGAGTGCACTCACTCACTAACTCACTCACCAACTCACTCACTCACTCACCAACTCACTCACTCACCCTCTCACTTCATATATCTTCCGGAATATGATATTCTTTTCTATGTAAGATCACCATATTATGACTACATTTTCTAAATTTTATCCAATATATATCACATAGAAGACATTTCATTAACATACTGAAATAAGATAATTTAACAATAGAAATTGAGAAATATATCAATTATTATTTATATATCAATATTTATTATTTGTAATAGTGTCATCTTGAAAATACGTCTTATCAAGCATCTCTCGACGTCGCCTAGAATAACACTAATAGCTAGTTGACACCTAATTGACATCTTCAATGTTTTTCCTTCTTTATCTAACTTGTCAGCAGTTTTCGATAACGCTTCTTTATTTAAAATAGTTAGCAGTTTCTTATATAAATTATCATATATATCATCATTCGTCAGCAGTTTAGTATTACATCAAATCGGCCCGTGCAAAAATCGGCTCTAACACGTTTCGGCCCATATTTTGTCTTTATTTAGTCCGGGAAGAACATAAAACTACCTTAAATATTAATATATATTACCTTCCAATTGGACTAATTTCCGTTCCTTTTAAATTGGAATTAATTCCAATAGGATTTATTTCCAATAAAAAGTATTGGAAAAATTTTCAATCGGATTTTTTTCCAGTTAAATTTAATGGAAAAAAATCCGATCGGATTTTCCGAAAAATACTTAAATAGACGTTATTTCAACAAAAAAATGCATACAAATACATATTAAGCATGTGTTTATGTATTTCGACAATTTCATAAAAATTGAAATTCCCGTTGGAATAAATAATAATGTTGGAATAAATTCCAATTGGAATTTAAATAATTCCGCCCGGACAGCATAATTCCGATCGGAATACATGAAATTCCGCCCGGACAATTTTTTTAAAATACAATTTTTGATAAGAAAGAAATTAAAAATAGCTTTAAATGAAGTCAATTATTAATAATTAACATTAAATCTATCGGATGAAATGATTTTTGAGTGTTTAGGGCAAGTATAAATGGTAGTGAAGTTTGCCACTATCCCGGTGGTGCAAAGATTTTCCGGTGGCTGTTTTTACAAAAATATACACCCTGTCCAAAAGTTTGACCTTCCCTTGTACAAGATGGCGAATGGAAAGGTAGACTGCTAAATTCCGGTACAACCGTCATCTACCGTAAAAAATTAAACCATCAAGAATTACTCCCCTTGTAACGTGTTCAAGCATATAGGGCTTAAACAGTATTACAAGGAGTACTAACTCTAAACAAAAAACACAAAAATATATCAAAATTTGATACTTGTTTATTTTATGAATGGGAGAATACGGCCATGGCTCAATGAAAACTTAATTATTATTTTACATACAAAAGAGCGAAGAAAGCCCTGGGAACAGATGCTGACTTCGTTCCTTTTTACTTAATACAGCACAAAAAAGGCTGGTGGCGAAAACTAAAAAACGCCACATGGCTGAATAATGACTAAATCAAATTCAGCCATATCGCCACCACAGAAAAAAGAAAAATTGAAATTCCACCCAATAATGTTTAATTCCTGAGCCATGGGCCATCTTCTCCCACCAAAGGTGAAACACTTGCATTGTCTTTCAAGAAGGCCTGAACAGCCTGTTGTAACCTGTACAAAAATAATTCATTTCCCATGTGAGATAAATGAACCCCATCATCTCTAAACAGTCCAGTACTGGAATCAGTGATTTCGGGGTAACGAATATAACCACCACCTAATGCAATAACTTTAGTGGCTATGTAACTATTAAGGCGTTTGCGAGCCTTCTCCATTGCTTGATGGGATATCTCATTGCGCCATTTCTGCCTTGGCAAAATTTGAGACCATACAAAAGTTACATCAGGCATTTCATGTTTAAGGATTTGAATTGTTCTTAAAATTTTTCTTCTCAGTAGTAATACTGGTACTTGAGCAATATCATTGCCACCACAATGTAAAATTAAAATATGTGGTCGATCCTCAAATTTCAATAAATGATGAATACAATTATAAACCTGATACCACCTCATGCCGCCCTTGCCCTGCCAGAATAACGAGGCATTGTGACGTTGTAAATCCAATTGTGATCCCCCTATATGATTAACCCGTGCATGATAGGCAGCCCACTTGATTATTGATGAACCAACAATCCATATGACCTTCCTAGGTACTGCAATTCTTAAAAATCTAAGTTAGATTTCCTGCAGCCACCAATCTACTGTGACTAATATAATTGTGAACAGACAATTAAATAGTTAGCTTTGAGAAATAATTTTGTTTACCGGTATTCTTATATAACCCTTAAATGCGTTTGATTGCCACCTACCAAGACCCTTTATTTCAGTGTCTGACAAACCCGCTAAAGCAGCTTCAGTGGCTGCACCTATTCTAAAGGAGTGAGATTTGATGTTTGTTTTAGCAAGGCCTAGAGCGCTTAAAGCCTTTTTAAGCACAGCATTAAATTGATAACGTGATACAGGTTGCCCTGAAAAATGGCAATAGAAAGGCCCTGGAAGTGATGGACGAACTAATTGAAATTGCTTTACAGCCATAACTGGACAAAATTCACCACCAACAGAAGAAATCTGTACTAACGCACCTTTTCCTGTTTGATCAGTTTTAGATGATTGTACAAAAATTTGTAACATGTCAGAAACAATTGAAACATTGTCAACTGATATAGCATGCTGCACATCAGGGGATTTTGACAAAACTAATTCACTTAGCCTAAAAAATCCGAAATAAGCTGTGAGAAACATAGATTTGAACAACGTTTCTTCGTATTTGGAAATACAGATAGCTGGTAGAATTGACACTAACTTCCCAAGTAAGTCAAAAGTTATTGGAAGCCTATTATCAACCCTTGACGAACTTTTGTCTAGGCCATTAAGAAGTTTACGTACAATAAACTTTTGAGTTATATCTTCAATATTGTTAATCTTGCAATGGAATGCGATACCAGATACATATTGCCTAACTGTTCTTGGGGCACGACCAATCAAAGAATTGTAAGCAATAAATCTAATCATTTGCTCCAATGGAGGTGGCCAGGTTAGTAACATTTGATGTCTTGTTCTGAATTGATTGAAAACTTCAATAGCATTTGTATATGCCTTGTGAGTATTGCTAGATAAACTGGAATCTAATAGTTTGTCTGCCTCAGCCCAGAGAGCAGATTCCGAAAACTGTCCGGGACCAAAGTGGCTTGCTGATCGGCATCTGGTGCCAGACGACGGAACCTGTCCCACTGCTTACGAGAAATAGAGTCAGCAATGCCATTATTTAAACCTGACACATGCACAGCTTTTATTTGGATATTATTCAACATCATATTTAAAACAAATGGGCGAAGCAGGTACATAACATACTTAGATTTTGAAGATTTTTTTGTTTAAAATTGTAACTAAAGCTTCATTATCCGTGTTAAGGATAATTTTCTTACCCTTAAAATTGGGAAGCCAAATGTGAAAGGCAAGTGCTATGGGAACAAATTCTAGAAATGACAGATCAGCCATGATTGGTGACTTGCACCACTTTTTTGGCCATTGCATGAACACCCAATGCTTGCCAAACATTGCGGCACAACCTAAACTTAATGTGCCTGAGCTGTCTGTATATAATTGTAACACAGAATTATCGGACCAATTTAACTCTGGAAAAATGCAAGACCCATTGAAAAAATCAATGAAGAAAAGTCACATTTTTAAATCCTCTTTGATTGAGTGTGTAAGTCTTAAATGATGGTTTGGCTTTAAAATGCCACATGTAGCATCATAGAAACGTCTGTTAAATGCCCTAGAGCAAGGTATTGCCCTTGCACAGAAATCTAATAAACCTATGAGGGATTGAAATTCCTGTAATGTTGTCTTTTTTTTCTTAAGGAATAGGATTAGCAACTCCGAAAGCTTTACCAGTTTCTCTGGCGGTATTCGAAGTTGCATCAGGATTGAATTTAGCTGAAAGCCCAAAAACACGAGAACTTTACTTGGCCAAACTGTCTTATCATCAGCTAAAGGTACACCTAAAGCCTTACAAATACCTAAAAATGCATTCATGAGATTCATACAGTCATTGGTGTCAGGTTTTCCCATGAAAATAAAATCATCCAAATAATGGTGGACTATGCCGTTTGGAGCCTTAGCCATTACTAACCATTCTAAGAATTTTGCAAACTTTTCAAATAGAGCACATGACAAAGAACACCCCATAGGTAAACATTTATCGATAAAATAAGAACCATTCAGAGTAAAGCCTAGTAAGCTAAAATCATTAGGATGTATAGGTAAAATCCTAAATGCATTCTCTATGTCAATTTTTCCAAGTAATGTATTACATCCTAGTAAACTGAGAGAATCAATGACTTTATCAAGAGAGGTGTACTTAACTGAACATAATGTGTCATCTATATAATCATTTAAACTTGAACCATTCGGAAAAGATAAGTGATGAATCAAACGCCATGATCCGTTCTTTTTTGGAACAAGGCCAATTGGTGATAACCTTAAATTTTTTAAAGGCCTCTCTTTAAAAGGGCCCGCTATTCGCCCTGCTCTGACTTCTTTCATAATCTTATTAACTGCCTCATTTGGATTTTGAATTACTGACTTTAAATTCTGACAAGAGGACTCAACTCTGGGCCCCTCATACATAAGTTTAAAACCAAACATAAAACCATTTCTTAAAAGTTCAGCATCCGTCTTGTTTGGATACTCTGCTAAAAAATCTTGTAGAACCTTAAGATTAATTGGCGACTTTGCCAGACCAAGGGACGAAGCTGTTACTTCCACTTGCTCTAGCTCCTTGATTAGGACTTGACCTGCTACTAGAAACATTTGGTCATTTTAATTTCAATTTACAAGATTTACTTGGATGAGATTTGCTACAGAGTATACATAAATGAAAATAATTGCAAGGTGCTTTATTGCAAAAAGCCTTTGAAATTAAAGTCATAACACTTCTTAATCTGATTAGGAGAACTTTTTAACTTGAGAGGAGCTACGACTATTGTAAACATACAATAACCACAATTCCTGGTCAACTTTAAACCATGGTAATGATGGTTACGAGCCTTTTTGTGCCTAAACTGTTCATCATAGCTTAGCCAACCTTTACCCATGACTCGTGAAGCTGCCAAACGAACATTGTACATGTATTTTAAGAGACCCTGGCTTTCATTGCAATGTACCGAACTGTAGACGGAAGCATAAATCAAAAAGGCATCTGTCCAAGCATGAATATCTAAGGAAGATTTAGTCACTTTCTCTTTTACTAGAATATTGCCATCATAACAACAACTTGCTTGTCATCTGAGTCCTTATTAGAGGGTAAAAGTGTATGTAACTCGACAAACTCTCCATTAATAATTTTTGTTTTAGTCCCATTACTCAAATGAACCCCTAGATTGTCTTCTAAAGAAGGCTCACCTGACATAGTGTCATCAATTTGTTCAGCCCCATGCTGTATCTGCTGAGGGACATGCATTTTTTCAGCAACTTTTTCCGCCACTTGGTCCAACTGCTGATCAGACAACTGGATGACATTACATGTACTTGATGTAGGGACTGACGCTTCATCACCTGAAGCCACTTTCCTCTTTTTAGCTTTAGGCATCTGTAACGGTTATAGTGTTCTAATAACAAATAACTGAACTATACATATATACATTGTAGCAAATCACATACACAAGCAGGCCAACACCTGCAAATTAAGATTACCAACAGACGCAAAGTTAACGACTGTTTATGTGGGAACAAAATTCATCAGACATTAACTCTATCACAATTACCCCACATTTCAAAAGTATACAAGTGGTCAAACACCTGCATCAAATAGATTACCAACAGATGCCCAATTGGCAACTGTTTACATGGGCAATCAAATACAAAATAAATGTGAAATGAAATAATAATCAAAATATACAAGTGGTCAAATACCTGCATCAAATAGATTACCAACAGACGCCCAATTGGCAACTGTTTACATGGGCAATCAATACAAAATAAATGTAAAATGAAATACAAGTGGTCAAACACCTGCATCAAATAGATTACCAACAGACGCCCAATTGGCAACTGTTTACATGGGCAATCAATACAAAATAAATGTAAAATGAAATACAAGTGGTCAAACACCTGCATCAAATAGATTACCAACAGACGCCCAATTGGCAACTGTTTACATGGGCAATCAATACAAAATAAATGTGAAATGAAATAAGTACCTAAATATACAAGTGGTCAAACGCCTGCATCAAATTAATTACCACAGACGCCCAACTGGCAACTGTTTATTTAGGCACTCAAAAACGAAATAAATTGAAAGAAATACCATATTAACTCTAAATATGTATGGTATTCAATACATTCTGCACCCAACAGTGACATGTATTCTGCACCCAACAGTGACATGTATCATAATATAAATTTGACATGAAAATAAATGCCAAGTTACATATTATCTAAATATGCATGACATTGCCATTAAAAAAAAACATACAACACTGAACAGTAGCATTTTAAATACTTCTATATCCTCTACCAGACAAAAAACATTTGTCCACAAAATTTGTAAGCTACTGCCAGGCAAATTGAAAATTGCAGAAAAAAACTTGTGCAGAAAATAAAATGGCACCACAGACAGAGTGCATAACCACAACAGAGAATCACAACCCTGATGGGCTACTTGGCACCGCCAGGAACCTTGTTTATTTGACATCTTGAATAATATAGATCTATACTATACCACCTTTGACCTAAGAAAAACCTTTTGTCAAGCTGTCCGACACAGGGATGATGAACCAGAGATAAAGGATGCTTCAACTGTAAAAGACTGTTTAATATTAAAAAGTAAATAGAGTGATCAAGAAACTTTAATCTTTGCATAAATAAATTTAGTGGTCTCGCACCACTTCACATTACTTCAGTGAGCAGGCCTGCGTTCGACCTAATGATATATTATAATCATATAGCCTAGCTCAATCAATAAATTTTCAATCAAATAAATGTAATAAATAATCTTACATCCTTCTAACATTGGTAGAACTACCGATGAAATCATTTTCCGATAACGGCTGCTTAAACAATGTGATCAAAATTGCCAATCAGCCTAGCTCAAACACTTATAATTCCAATTACCTATTAAATTTCCAGACAATTAAAGTGTACATATATAATCAAACATCCAAATCTAACAT